CTTAATCACTCCTATTGATGACGAAAATTAAATTGAACCGATGTATTTTCATATAAATTACTTATACTTATGTTTCAAAATGTACTCATTATTTTTGTATTTTATGAATATTAAAATAAAAGATACTTAAATCAAACCTTTATATTAAATATGTTCATGGTATAAATTATTATTATATATGTAATTTATTCAACAATTTTAGTAAATCACTGTCCTTTCAAAATATCACTTCAGTAAAATACGTCGGACAAAATTAATATATGTCAGTCATTTTTCTAAAGTATTTATTTTGAAAGTGGCTTAAGTCACTTTACCGTAATGAAAAGTGGTGAGTTTTTAACGTTTATACGAAATTATTTATACTGAGAAAAATATCAGTATCCTGATAACAAATACAAGTAAATCTTCTCGAAAGTTAGCATCCATATTTTTAAACGTGTTAAATAATATGTCGACTTAAAAACAAAGTGACTTATGCCACTTTCAAAATAAACGGCTCATATTCTAACTTCTCATATTAATATTTATAAGCATTGTTAATACCGTGACATTATTTATTCCCCATAAGAGGTTAATACCGATTAATAGGTAGAAGATAACAAGATCGATGGGAAGCGGATAATACCGTGCCACCATCTGTGTCTATTGCAAGTAGAAATAGCCAGTAATGATCAGACACATTAACCACTACTATCGAAAAGCACACGTACTCGCTAGATTGCGAAAAACACTCAACTATTCTCACTCGACGATTCTCAAAGGAGATCGTACAAGAAATTATCGGTCCATAGTCTTCATTTTTATTCCCAACGTAGCGTTATTTTCTATGATTCATTATTATCGCTTGTAATCGAAATTCCACGTTGCATTAGAGATACGTTCTACACGTGTTCCTTTGGTCGAAAAAGAAAAGATCTATTTCCCGCGACAGCATTTGCGTAAATTTGTATTAATTAATTTCCGCGAGGATAATATTGGCTTTTGCTCGAGTTTGGTTTCATGCTTCAAGAACGATTTATTCAGGAATTGCAGCTGGCACTAACATTATAAATTAGCAGACTTAAATAATTTAATTTTCACTGAGCTCGAGCTCGTTAACAATGAACGTGTGCACACGTGTCGCATGATTATTATTATAGTGACTGTCGCGAGTTCGACAACACGGTAACTCGATTATGTCATTTAACTTCGAATGTTCGTCGCATGCATGACTGTGAATTAATTTTATATCGCGTGCATCACAGATACCTGTGAGTTATCTACGCCGGTTATCTACGCGAATACATTTGGCAAATCTTCTATTGTCGGTAACGTAGTCGAGGTTCGCAAACCTCCAGCTTCGTAACTTCGAAGATATTATTTGCGCATAAATCTAAAATTATTCTGTACATCCCGTACTCGGTGCTATTATACAGATTTTTTGGCTCTTCGATTTAATTATTCTTTCCATACATTATTATAACCATGAATTAGATCGACATCTTTAGTTAAATAGTCACTGCACATTCTCGAAATGCGTCTCGATTATTATTATTTCCTTGTTTTAAGTGTTAAGTCGTAAGTTAACTGCTACAGGCAAAAGAAAGGATTTCTTTCGGCTATTAAGGAATTTCGAGGAACTTTATAACGTAAACAAAGTTATAGCAGTTATCCTAAATATTAGGATATCTTTTAACACGATACAACATTTTAAATATTGGATCAAGTTGGTCTCGAACTCTTTTGGCGACGTTAGAGGGTCTAGTTTACTAGACAACGTGTAAAACGTAATAAACTCGTTTTAATCATTATTCGTAATAATAATAATCATTATAACGTAAACAAAGCTATAGCAATTACCTAAAACATTAGGATATTTTTTTAATACGATACAACTTTTTAAATATTGCTACAAATTGAAAATGTGTTAAACACAATAAAATCGTATTAATCATTATTCAAAATTAACGATTGAGATATTACTGTTAATCGTTAATCGTTAAAGATAATCATTAACGGAATTACATGAAAATATCCTTCCAATTCCATTGAAACGTCAGCAATTATTAATTGCCCCTTTCAACCGACGATCGATGATTTCATTCGTAATCGATTAATTCAATCGTCGACTTTTCCACGATTAATGCCATCGATCTTTTCCATCAATCATTCGGTCGAATAAAAAAGTTCGAATCGATCCAACACCGATTCATACTCGACAGCGTACATATATTTCGAATCCCCGTAACGTCGATGTGTTAACGAAAAAAATGACAAAATGTACCCGCTCGTACCACTGCATCGTTCCGATCCGCTTCCATCATTCCCCGAAGGTTCACGCTCGCGCTATTAATTACATTCGACGAGAGCACGATCTCTTTCCAATATCCAGCGCGTTTCCGCGCGCGCGGACCAAGTCCTCCGGCGACCGTTTCCTGTCCCGGTCCCCGATTTCGGGTACCGGCGGGTCGCGCGGGTAATCTGGCCTGGCGTGGCGCGAAAAATGCGTGCGATCACGCACGCGGGTCCGCACGGGAAAACAACGGGACAGGGCGTTACGATGCGTTGCGTCATGCATTGGACGGTTTTCCGGATAGGGCAGTAATTTGGCGGCGCGGCGCAAGCGCCGCAAGGCGGGTCCGGGTCAACGGCAAGAACCCGGTCTAGTCGTACGACGAACGCCCGTGCGGGTTGTCGGTGTCGGGACGCTCCGCGAAGCCGATCCGCGAGCGCATACCCGTTCTCCCCTCTACCTGGACCCGCCGTCGAGGCAGAGAGCGTAGAAGAGACGAAGCAACAGGACGAAACACAAACACAGAGATCGAGCTAGAGAGAAAGATATATATACCCTAAAACGCTACCCGCCTCGTACCGGGAACATTTCAGTCAACCCTTGCGCATAATTCTGCACCGATTGTAATATCGAAGGCGAACACTTAAAAAAAAAAACAAAACAAAAAACAATAAACAAAGGGAAACGATCATCGAAATTTTGTCACGGACAGAATTCGCGATCATCGAACGATCGTCGTCGTGTCGACGATTCAGTGATCGGATCGAGATAGTTGTTATCGATGACCCGGTAGAGGCGAATGGTGAACGGTCGCGAAATCCTGGGGAGACGTTAACCGGCTAAATGGACCATAAATAGTGTCCGGCAAACGGGGAAAGGCGAACGGGACAGGGAAGAAATACCGACGTTCCTCGTCGGCGACGCTTTTTTCCCGGCAGGGTGGCTGTCTGTCGGGTGACGGAATACCCGTCTTCCAAGGAATCCTAGTGATCGAGTGATCCGACCCGAGCTGGTCCCGTTCCCACAGCGTTCACTGGCCTACCGGAAGCCGGCGGGACCGGCCGACAACTTCCGTCTTCTTTGGGAGAGTGACCAGGAAGATCGGGGGTCGACGCGCCTGCTTTCGTTTCCATCGGTCGCGCTCTGCCCAGTTATTTTATGGTTTCTCGATCCAGAGTGTCCTTGGAACAGTCGTTGCCAGTGCGGTGTGAACGGACTGTCCGGTGATGCTCGAGGGTGTTTAGAGGTGCTTCGTAACGGCTTCACGGGATCGAGGATCGATCCTGGGCCTGGGAACCTGCCGGGAGCTGCACCTTCGAGGACACCTCGGGTTGGTGAACAGGTACGTGCAGGTCGTTTACGTCGTTTCGGGATGATTCGGGACTGAGTTTGGGTTTGCGATGCTTCAAGCGATTGAATCTTTCTGATTTTTATGGAATTGGTACTTTGACTGCTCTTCGATTTAGAGCTATCGAGTGGCTGTTTCGATTTTGGCGAATTTGTGTATCGTTCGAGTTTTAGCTCGATGAGACGATATTTATAGCGGTGATGTTTGTTTTATTTTTCGGTGTAGACGAAATTGTAATATTGTAATACGAAATGATGGATTTTCGTCGAATATGTTGTGAAAGTGATTCGGGCTTGGAATCGATTGGTAATCGAAGTTGCTCGGAGTTGGGCAAAAAGTAGTTCGATTAATAGTTCACGATTATAACTTGTTAGTTGTTATAAGCTATTTTAAATTAGTCAAGTTATTATGCATCGGTTGAGTCATTATAAATTAGTTATAATAACGAACGGATTATAATTGCGAATCATTAAACGGACTAGTTTTCGTCCATTTAGTATAAATTAGTTAGAATAACTAACGAGTTGTAATCGTTAATCATTGATCGGATTATTTTTCACCCAACTTTGAAATTAGCGACGGAGATTAAGCTGTGAAATTGTGAAATTGGTTAGTTACTTCTAGCAAACAGATACTGGGATAGGCATAGGATGGAAATGCGTTTGAAGAAAAATTGGCATGGAATGAAAACATTCTGATGTAAAATAAGACTCTCTCATCGCCAGTGAATATCATACGATGGGAGATGGGACAATTTACTTTAATCGAGCAGGGGATGGGAATTTTTTCATCATAAAATTGTTGTGCTCTTTTCGTCAATACGTCCCTTGACCTGGCTGTCAGAGAGAACGTAATCGAGATTGTAAACGTCATTGTTGCCTGAATTATTTGAATTTATTATCTTTTACCGCTGTCTCCATTTTAGGTACCTATTTCAATGTTGTTCGAACAGATTAACCGTTGGTATTTTCTATACTTATCGAGACATAAATGCATGATCCATTTAAGTTAAACTAACTTCTACGATTTAGAGTGATATTTGATTGCCAAACATCGGGTAAATAGTTTAAAGAAATATTAAAATTTATTTGAATATTTCAAGCAAAGGGATCTTGCAATCAATGAAGCAAAGATTTGATAAACTTTTATATTAATATTTTTTTGTTGATTGATCTTCTACGTTGAGAAACTGAAATCCGCAAGGAAAAGCAAATTTAAATATTAAAAGTACACACAGTCGTAACAACAAGTAAAAGTAACATGCAAGCAACACGGTAGAACAGTTCAAAAACAAATCTAATAACTACAGCGTAGATTTTCATGCATTTACGAAATTCGCAAATGAAAACGCAAGAAAACGTTTACATTAATATTCAACTACAGCTATATTCTCATTTAACTATTCTTCCACTTGGAATCTCTCAGTTCACGGCACATTTGCATCGAGTTATATTTTTGCATAATAATTATTTATTTAATAACGCAATTCAAAATAACGATTGTAAAAAATATGTTTTTTAAAATGTAAATTAATGTTTGTTAAAATATGCTTGGTAATGAGTGTGCATTAAAAGTTTGTTAACATATATGCTTGGTAATGAATAAGTTAATCCCTAAATACTAATAACATTAAGATTCACTCAATTATGTAGTAATATTTTCGAAAAGCGTATCAATGTTAATGCTTTAAAGTGTAAAAGTTCTATTAATAGGAGAGTTCGGCAAATTTTATTTTATGTAGAAAATGAAAAATTACAAATTGAATTATTATTTCATTTGCAAATAGCAATTCAATTTTTTATTCGATTAAAAAATCATTTAAATAATATTACCTGTTGTTTTTATATAAACTTGCGACCGAAGATCATTATTTCCCTATTACGACGAATGCTCGACGCATTCTGCTGAATAAATGATAAATAATAAGCAATTAAATGATAACTAACAATTGTATCCGTGAACAGGAAATAAATTTGATTATATTCAAATAATTAATTTGGATCTAAATAAAAGTTTAAATAAAAGACGAATGTAAATTACTCATTTTTTATTTATAAACTTCCAGATTACAAATAATTTTTCATTTAAATAATCATTTCAATGTTCGAATGAGACGAATAAATTTAGTTAACGGTTTCCGGTGGTATTGTCCTTATAAATAATTTTCTATTTAAATAATCATTTTAATGTTCGGACGAATAAATTTAGTTAACGGTTTCCAGTGGTCCATCGTCCTTATAATTTCATTATCATCGTGGAATAAAACTTATCGAACGGGTTATTTGACCAGCGGCGATGGTACGGTTAGCGTTAAAAGGGTTAAGAATGGCAAGAAGTAGACGTTACGGTGTTTCGTGGGACGCGGAATGCCTGGACAACAAACGTGACAGTACTTGTGGGTTAATGTTTCGTGTCAGGACTGGCCGTTCTATGAAACGAGGGTGGCGGGGGAACGTTCGCGAGGGTTGAAGTGTGATAAAAACGCGCTCGCTTGTAACGCTGTGAAAGGAAATTGGTTCCTATTGACCTCTCCGGTCGTCGGTTCGCACACGGTCTGCGCGTTCCGGGAACGCTATCGAGCCTATCGAGTTGTTGCATCGGGGGAAATGTTTTTCAAAGGTTCTGGTTCGTGCCGATCCATCGGAAAACCGTCCGGAGGTGTCGAGCGTTGTGCTGTGTCTCGTCGACGGAACTCCCGACTTTCCTCTATGATAATTCTCGGCAGCCCGAGACTAGAGGCTCGAGGGGACTTGTATCGATGACCTCGAAACGGCTGGCGTCGTCGAGGTCGCCGACGTGCCGTGAAATGCATCCAGCGACGAGATTATTTATCGAGATGTTTCGGGGATCGTCGCTGAACAACTTCTGCTCGCTGAATTACCAGGGAATCATTTGACTATTAACACGTTCTATGCCGAGTTGTTTTTACTCGACTTTTCACGCTGGCCATTTGATATTTTACTAAAACTTGATATATTATATGTAATTATTAATCATCGTATGTAATAATAAAACAAACTTATCATGACCCATTCTTGCGGTAGAATTAATTCTTCGGTTCTATATTTGCTACAAACTATTTTGTTAACGCATTAAAGAAACATGTAAGCATGTACCATCGATGGTACACATAGCACGGAACGTGTTAAGAAAAAGCTCGAGGCGCATTTCTTCCTCCTAATTAATTATTGGACTTACGATCAGATCGAATGTTTCTGTACGAATCGAGGACTTAGGAAGTTAACCCTTTTGCAGTCGGAGTATTTTCTCGAACTGGCTACAGTGAGTAACATTAATGGACATCGTCTTTTTTCTTTTTTTTTTTTAATTTCGAGCAATTTTAATCTCTGTCGAGATTATTTTACATTACATTGTATGTACAAAAAGTTGTCGCGAATTTACGACGTTCCAGACAGATAATTCAAGTGAAATATTGTCAAATTTTGTATTATTTGAAACGTGACAACATTTTAGATATGGGACAGAATTGTATGTATTTAACTACTGAACGACGATACTTGGGCCTATTTTGCTCGAAGAAAAATGTGTTTCTTGCTTGTAACGACGAATTCGGGCGTTGTCAATGCATCGCGAATAAACTGTGTTCCGATAGGTGGAGAAACGGAGACAAAGGAATGATATCGCGAATGACTTTTCCGGCGGATAACTAAAACTCGGATAACCAAGAACCGCGCTTAATCAAGCCCGCGTGTAATCGGACCCCGATTAATCGAGGCACCGCTGTAATCTCATTCGCGTTGCGTTAGTTTAAAGAAAATGAAATTCTATTTTGCGTCGGTTTCGTGTCCCGCCAGTATTAAAACGTGAATTTGCATAGAAATCTGCGGCGCAATGATGGTTTAAGATTTCTTTAAGAGTTAGGGCAGCGTTGTTAACAAGATTAAAGCAGAAAACTATATTCTTTTGTCATTGTTTGCCAAAAAAAGAAAACGCCGCAACCTTGCCGCGTCGTGCGAAAATAAGTTTGTGAATAATTCATTGGAGCATTGTAATAATAGCAGGGAAATAATGCGAGATTTTAGTGAAAGAAACTCGAGTAACGTTATTGAAAGGATCGACCGCGTCATTCGAACGGATTTGTACGTTTCCTGCCTCGAAAACTCAATAGACTAGTTTTTATTGTTGTCGAGTCTCGAATACATTTCTGATGGAGAAAGAAACACATCCTTGGTCAAATATTGACCGAGCATCGAATTATCCTGCATACGAAGCCAGCATCAGTGAAAAATCAAATATGCTACTCGACCATACGAATTGTATACCCTCGCATTTTAAATTATTAAAGATTGCGCGCAATAGGTAATCCGCATGGAATTGCAACGTGCAGAACTTTGCGAGCAATTTTTATAGACAGCCGACAGCCTTCAAAAGTGCTCACAATAATATTGTTCAGTAATAATTGCGAAACGCAGCGTACACCTTTGTGGTAAATTTCTTAGTACGTAAACGTTAAAAATTTGGAGTTTAAGGCGTTGAACTTATTTTTCACTGGTACTATTCTCATAATTTAACGCCCGTTGGTGTTTATTAGTATTTATTTGAAAGGGCAGATTCGTTTCTACCAAATAAAGCGACGAAACATTCCCGTGTAATTTGTTCTCTCAGATCCTCCACAGAATTTGCAGGATTCGTATAAATTCCGGAGAGTGTAGCAATAACTGCAGAAAATTTAAACGCAGTTATGTAAACAATAAAAAACCTTAACAGAGATGTTAAAAACGTTTTTAAAAATATCTCGAGAAGTAACAAATTTTTCTGCCACGATACCCTAATAATTTTCTACGTAGAATGAAGATAGGAATCGATCTAATAAAAAAGAAATGATGCAGTTGTTAATTGCACATGCACCGAAGCACTTAAAAAACTCCGAGGGCCTACAGCCGTGGTGCTCATCGAACTATTCATCTGCCTCTTTTTAAATTTTTATTATAAATTAGAAACGGTGTTGTGGCCTGAAACAATTGAAACTATTA